TGTTTAGATCCCAGAGAAAGTAACTGAAATACAGAACCTTCCCTGGGAGGTCCCCTCACCACGTACAGGAATCCATGTCGAGGGGTCCCTGTTGAGAACACACCCACAGAAAAAAAAGTGAGGATGAAGAGACCACTCTGCGAACCTGGTGGGGTTGCAATAAGATATCAGCAACAAGAATCAGCACTTGGGGAACATAAACTGCCAGAATAGTCACGTCAAGGTCATTGGCCAAATACACCAAATCCAGAGTCCGACCAGACAGAGATTGGTATGTGGTTCCCTCTGTCTAGGTGATAAAGCTAACGATAGTGGAATTGCAGAAATAACTATAACCATTCTCCCCTGCAGGAAAGGATACAGAGCCCAATGAACTGCCAAGGTACCAGGATGTGGATATGAAGAGTATCCTCCTTGACTGACCACTAACTCAAAACTCAGGGGAATTGAGGAAAGTGGGATGGTCCACTGGTTGAAAAAGTATCCAATGAAGGGAGTGCATGTGTGTCCAACCCAAGAGAATGAGCACTGTCAAGGAAGACCATATTTCAAAAGAGAAAGAGAGAACCTCACGGGCATATAGAAATGGAAAAGGGATGGCAAATATGACTGTCCACTCGATATCCTGGAGCCAAAGTGGAGAGCTTGACCAAAAAGGGAAGTGAAGAGAACCCCGAAATGAATAAGATACTGTGAGGGGTTAGTAAAGGACTTCTCCAACCAGAAAAGAAACCCACCTGAGAAGCTACTCGAAGAAGGAAGCGGGTGTGAGTGACTGACCAGGCACAAAGAGAGGCAAGCAGAAGCCTGTCGGCCATGAAATGCGAGTCTGAAGACCCAATGAGTGAAGACGAACAAAAGTGTACCACTGCACAAAACACATACAGAGCTGAAGAAAGACAGCCAGTGAGCACCCAGAACAGAAGGGCAAATCTCACCTTAGAGGAACCGAAGAAAAGAACATGACAATGGGGCATAAAAACCCACCAGAGTGAGAGGTAGGACTCCATGCTGAAGCAAGGTGACTGTAGATAAGTATACAGCCAGGACAGATCAATAAAGGGACTTTAAACTACCATGTATAGGAAGACAAAGAAGGACAGGAGTAAAATCCTGGTTGAATGGGCTCCACACATTAGATAGCTCCATTGTGTAGTAGGACATGAACAGACTAAGTACGGCACAATATCTGGCAAGTGAATAGAGGGGGCGCAAAACGGAAGTCAGAAACCCTCATAGAGAACTCATAAAAAGAATGGAACTTTCACGAAGTGTGGCCAAAAAGACCTAAAACTAAAGTAACTGAAGAAAGTACACAGAAGTAACACACCAGCAAAACTAAGAAAATTGACATAAAACAACAATTAACACCTGAAGTACAAAACCACTAAAAAGACTGATAAGATAAATGACCCTTAAACATAGAATATTGAAGTCGGCTCAAAGAAACTATAACACAGAGGACACGAAAAGAAAACTTTAGGGTACCCTAAAAAACATGAAAATACAAAGGCACCCAGTTAACAGTTAGGGGTGACTAGTAGTAAAGATAAAAAAAAGGAACTTAAAACTAAATAAAATTAACAGTGATGAAATGTAAATTATTAAACCAATTTAATGCAAGAAACAAATTCTAACTAGTTAACAGTTAGGGGTGACTAGTAGTAAAGATAAAAAAAAGCAACTTAAAACTAAATAATATTAACAGTGATGAAATGTAAATTATTAAACCAATTTAATGCAAGAAACAGATTCTAACTGCAAGTTGTAAACTAAAGAAACCTAGATGGTAAAAAAGTATAAAATTTAAATCTACACAACAATGACCAGAGAAGACATGAATGACATAAATTATAAAGTGCGGAAATTAGATCCATACATTTGAACTCACATATACTCATTAAACAAGGGTATATCTACAGGGAGTGAGAAATACATACTGAAAAATGTACCACAGATCACCTGGGAAAAGAACAATACCTATCTTGAAAGGAAAACATTGCCGGACATACATAAAACACAAACTCCCTGCAAACAAAAGTCTGTGCTTCCTCAATAGAAATCTGAGACTGAGGCCTAGTGTCACAACCATTGCCTACTTATGGTAGGAAAATTATGAACTGCCATAAGAAACCCAAATTCATATGAACAAAGTAGAATTCGGGGAAACAGAAGCATCTCAAATACAAACGAGTAGAAGCTTGAACTTGAAACTGATATTAATTGGTGATCAAACACAATCAAAAATTGTTCAGTCACATAGAGAGCATAAAACATGTCTATACACAATAATTTCCAATCGAGAAAGTGAGGATTGTGCTACAAGGGTAGAGGGAGCTAGTTGTGCTAGTATAGAGTGCACAATGGGATTGATGGAGGGTGGTTACATGACTAGCACTTCCTCCTGCAAAAATATAGGGGTATAAAAAACTGGTGCACTTTTAAAAACTATACCAATGCCTAGAAGGCAAATGAAGGTCAAGATAGCTATGGGTGAGTGAACGTAGTACCGTTTCGGGTATGCTATGCAACATGGGCTCTCAGCACTCTATCATTTGCCTTACTGGACTCTTCCTCAACCAGAATATGCTGTCATCTCTTCTTCTCAGACTTCAGAAGAAATATAGTGGTGCTCACTACTGAGTATTAATGCAATAAATGTGAAAGGAAATCTACTAGTTATTACTATTGCCAAAATTATGCACAAATAAACACAAAAATAAAGCTTAGCAAACTACAATTCACTGAATAAAGATTAACAGTTCATGTAGAAGATTCTTAGTTAGTCAAGTAGGAAGAGCTGAAGATGGCTACACTTATACAGTAGAATGGTCAACATTTTTCATTCACAAATTCCTACAATTTTCTATTTCATTATTCTCACAGTCTCATTCAGTCAAGTTCTTACTATCATTGCCAGGTTTATCTTTAACCTGATGACTACCGGCTACTACATAAAAATAATAAACGTCACATACATCCCATGCAGTTTTTTCAGAAGCAAGTTTTCTAACTCTTGTAGAAAAGCACTATTGGACAGTACTAAATACAACCTCTACATAAGATGGCAGTTACTATAATAAGCACCACCCACATTCATATTGTAAAATCCAGAGTACAGCATTTCATCACGTACTTTCCTTATCATCCTATGATTTGTCAAATGTGAGATACAGTGATTGGAATAACATGGTACTG